TAAATATAGGAGAAAGTTGGGTGCTGGTGGCTCATGTCTGTCCATCTGAGATATTAGGATTGTGGTTCAAAAACCAGTCCAGGCAGAAAAGTCCATGAGACTCTTACCTCCAATGAAGCACCAACAGTGCTGGAAGTAGACCTGTGGCTCAAGTAGTAGAACACTATCCTTGAGCAAAAAAGATCAGGGACAGCACCCAGGTCCTGAGTTCAAGCCCCAGTACTGGGGCTTGCACACATACGTGCACACACACAAGAAAAAAAGAAAAAGAAAAACTGACAAATGGTAGGTCTTCCTTGTTTCCTGATGGGGGGACAGCCCAGGCAGGTGGTCGTGCCTGGCTGGTGTTCATAAGAACCAACGTGGATCCCAGGAGCATTCCAGGCCCGCAGCAGGCACGGGGAGACTGGCTTTGTATCTGGTGCAAATTCAGGAGAGGCTCACCTCCTTCCACCGGCCTGGCTGAATTCCCCAGGGATGAGAGGGGAGAGGGGAGGGGAGCCACTTCAGTGAGTGCCGAGCCGAGTCTAGAGGGGGAGGCTGCTGCACAAATCCACACAGCACCAAATATGTCCTCTGACACCTAGTTCTGGGCACTATTCTCAGAAAACAGAAAACGTCGTGGGGGTCAGTACCCAACAACCCTCCCAGGGCGCTTCCCTGCCCGGCCACACGGGGCGCCGTGGCTCTGGGAGCTTCCCAGCACAGCCACAGGAGGCGCTGTCCAGCCCTAGCTGCTTCTCCTGGGGATCACAGGGCTGGCTTGAGCTCACTCCCATTGCCCTTCACCAAAGGAGGAAACTGCACCCTGTCTGTTTCTTGTTCAAAGATCAGACCTCTGTGACAGAGGCAGAACACTGGCCTGGCAGTCACAGCTCCAGAGCTCCGTCCCTAGCCCCACCCCTCCCCCTGAAAACAGTATAAGCAGATATGCGCCCTGTCACATTTGCTGCCATCTCAGCACCTTGAACGTGGGACACACGCGTCCGTGTGCGCCTGGCTGAGTGGCCAGGGTTCCCTGTGATGCAGGGTGGGTCTGGTTATTGGGCTGGTGAACCGGTAGGATGATGAACACTTGGGAGCTGCATCAGATCTGGGAACGAAAGAGGACGGAGACCCAGGACAGTACTGCTGCGTCCTTCCTTGTCAGGGCTGCTTTGAAAAGTTGCTCAGGCAGCCGACTATTCCCGGAGCAGAGGAGCATGGGAGGCTGGAGGTCCACCCAGCTCTGGGGAGCTCAGGATTTCCTTGCTAGATGCCCTGCAGAGGCAGTGTGGGGCAGTGCGGGCAGCATCTCCCCCTCCCGCCCTCTCCTCTGGCCACACAAGCCCTGCCGCCCGGCAGGGACGTGCTGTGGTTGGTATAGGAGTCAGGAAACAAGGCCAACTTGTCACCAAAGCCAACGTGTCCTGTCACCCCCACGCCCAGCCTGGGGACAGGGATCATGCTTCACCTATCTGTGGCCCACAGGCTTTTGTCCAGAGGAAGCTGCCTACCCGGCACAGAGAGGGTTCTCCCACAGGATGGAGAGGGCTCCCAGCTTCTTCCCCAGGATTCAGTAAGGCCACATCTAGGAGTTACCACTTGGCTGCAGCGGGTCTGAGAGGCAGCTGGGTGGCTCAGGAGCCACTCCGCGTGCTGGGGTACCCAGGCTCCTGTGCGAGTGGCTGCCTGGCGCTGTCGTGTAGGATGGTTTGCAAGGTGAGGGCCTGCAAACTCTTCCCTGTGGTGCTAGACACAGGACAACCAAGTTGAACTCCACCCACGCCTGTCTTCAGAGCCCCTAGCCCCGCACGCCAAGCCCACCCTGGCATCCAGGTGCCTACAGCCCCTGGCGGTTTCCCTCCAGAAAACTTGGCTTGGGAGGGCTTTAGCCCTTTCTTCCTACCGGGGGGGGGGGGGGGCCAGAGGGGAGGGGAGGAAGCCTGTAAAGGTGGTGAATCTCTCATGAACCATCAGCATTCCAGGGGCTCAAGTGAGAAAGGCTAGTGAAGATAAGGTCAGAGGAGCGTGAACACAGAGCTCCTCGGTCTGGGGGCAAGAATCTGCCAAGGATCTCTAACACCCATTTTTAGTAAAGAGCTTTGTTTGTAAAGGTCAGTAAATATTTGAAGAGTGGGTAGATGATGGGTGGGTGGGTGGGTGGGTGGGTGGGTATGTAGATGGAGGATGGATAGATGTAGATGTATGGATGGGTGTAGGATTCATGGGCAGGTCTGTCAGCTACACTAAGGCCTTCCTTGGAACTTTCTAGAACTGCTACATGTGGTTCTGTCCCAGTGTGTCTCACCTTGGTTAGGTGATCACACCCCAGTTTGATTGTTTGGGGAAGATTTTATTGCTAATGTTCTTTTTGTTTAGGGGGCCTGGCATTGCCAGACCTGGCTGGGCCCAGGCCAGGCGCTGCGCTGTGGTCTGGGCCTGCAGTGTGAGGGTCCGGTGCTGTGCTGTCTGGGGCTGGGCCTGCAGTGTGAGGGTCTGGTGCTGTGGTCTGGGGCTGGGCCTGCAGTGTGAGGGTCTGTACTGTGCTATCTGGGGCTGGGCCTGCAGGGTGAGGGTCCGGTGCTGTGCTGTGGTCTGGGGCTGGGCCTGCAGTGTGAGGGTCTGGTGCTGTGCTGTGGTCTGGGGCTGGGCCTGCAGTGTGAGGGTCTGGTGTTGTGCTGTGGTCTGGGGCTGGGCCTGCAGTGTGAGGGTATGGTACTGTGCTGTCTGGGGCTGGGCCTGCAGTGTGAGGGTCCGGTGCTGTGCTGTCTGGGGCTGGGCCTGCAGTGTGAGGGTCCGGTGCTGTGCTGTCTGGGGCTGGGCCTGCAGTGTGAGGGTCCGGTGCTGTGCTGTCTGGGACTGGGCCTGCAGTGTGAGGGTCCGGTGCTGTGCTGTCTGGGACTGGGCCTGCAGTGTGAGGGTCTGGTGCTGTGCTGTGTGGGGCTGGGCCTGCAGTGTGAGGGTCTGGTGCTGTGCTGTGTGGGGCTGGGCCTGCAGTGTGAGGGTCCGGTGCTGTGTTGTGGTCTGGGGCTGGGCCTGCAGTGTGAGGGTCCAGTGCTGTGCTGTGGTCTGGGGCTGGGCCTGCAGAGTGAGGGCCATGGACCTTGCATCCCTACCCTCTAGAAAGGAGCCTGGGACGGCCCTCATCCCGAGGTTCCCTGTGTAGAGCCCACCTGTCCTCAGCCCCCTACTGCAGACAGGGAATTGGGCCACCCGCCTGGTCCTTGTGTATGGCAGGCTCAGGAGACAGAGCTGGAGGAGCTTGGCACAGGGTGACAGGAGCAGCTGTTCTGATGAGGGGATGGGCTAGTCTCTGAGCCCCTGACCCGCTTCCCGTGACCTGACTCAGGGAGGGACCCACTGACCAGTGAGCGGCCTTGGGGGTCAGTGGCAGGCTGCAGATCCAGTGAGCTTCTGGAGAGAAGGAGGACCCCCAGCCGGGCCACAAGAGTCAAGAGCCCTGACTGGGGGCTTGGGGGGCCACAGGAGAGGGGCCCTGGCTCACCCAGGGCAGAGGCTCCCTGTGCATCTTGTGGAGGGGGCCTGGCTAGGGAGGGAGCCGGGGCAGGCCTTGCTCTGGGGAGTCCGCTGGGTGACCGTGGGAAGGGTGGAAGCAGAGTGGGGGGCAGGGTTGGTGCAGCACACCTTGTTACTCTTTTCTAGAAAGAACCAAGACAGTTGCTACTGAACAGTCATAAGGAAGCTGCCCCTAGAACGGTTTTAAAGAACAGTGAATTCTTGGTAATTGAACCAATATGTCACTCTTGCAAGCAGACTATTACAAGGAACAGATGTAGATGGTCTCAGCATCTGCTCTGAGTAAGCCTCCAGACACCCCCATCCCGTCTACTCACCTCCCTAGCAAGTCGCCTTCTAGAGGGTTCTGTGGGAGAGGAGTGTGTGGGGAGGGCCGCTATGCCCACAGTCCACCGCCAGCCACGGCGTGGCCGCCCAGGGCTGAGGGGAGCCGCAGCCCACCGCCAGCCATGGCGTGGCCACCCAGGGCTGAGGGGAGCCACAGCCTCCCCTGACTTCTCTCCACAGGACAGGCCCGAAGTGGCCACTTCCAGGAATCTTATCTGCAACAAGGCTGCGCTGGCCCCCAAGGGGTCAGACAGCTCTTGAGAAGAGTCTGGGGTAATAATTAGTCTCTGTCTAGGACAGTCCCAGCAGAGGATCACAATAGCCCAATAGCTATGTACACAGGACCATATAAAATGATGCTAACGAAATGAAAGCCAAGATAGGGAAACAAGAGGGTTTTTGGTGTATTTTTTTTTTTTAATATACTGTGTGAAGTAAGTTTTTTCTTTCATTTTTTTTTTCCCTTTGATTTATCCTGTTGTCACTGTTTTTGATTTTGGTTCTCTGTGTCTTGTCTATACGTTTATCTGATTTGGGGAAGGGAGGGGGAGCAGCAAAATGGAGAGACAAAGGACAAAGTGCAAACCAATGCAGAGCGGTACCCACCAGGCAATACGTTGGAAATGAACTTTACAATTCTGGGGGAGGGCGAGAGAAACGAGTTAACAACGTTGGACAAGAAATGTACTCGTTACCTTACTTAAGTGACCGCCTTCACCATAAAGTTACATTAAAGGAAGAGTCTGGGGAATAAACTTCATCAGAGATCTGGGGTCCACATGCCCTCCGTCCGTGAGGTGCTCAGCGCCCCCAGGTAGGATGGAGCAGGAAAGGTCCCTCACAGGAAAGCATTGTATGGAGCTGTCCCTGGGTGTCCACAGAGGACTGGAAGACACAAAAGTGCACAGGGGCTCAGACCCCTCCGTGGGGCCGTGACCACAGCCTAGGTCCCCGCGTGGGGCTGAAACAGCGGCCCAGCAGGCACGGTGGGTGTCTGCCCCGTTACCGTGTAGGATGAGCATTGTAGGGCACTGTCTGCCAACAGCATCTTGGTTTCACCTCCTTTGGAGAAGGCCCCGGAGTGTGTCCATGGAAAGCCGCCCTCTGTGGCCCTCAGGAGGCTAACTTCTGGCTCCCTTCCTTTTGTCCCTCAGGTATCCTGACAAACGCAGCCCCGCGGGGCTCCCGGGAGTGGTCCTGGCTCCTTGGAAAGTCTGCCTCAGCCACGATCCTCCGCCCTCCACGGACTCTGCCTACCCTCCACTGTCTGCCCACGGTCTCCCTGGGGCCGCTCCAGGACCACCTCCACCTCAGCATCCTGAGCTGCAGTCTGCCCAGCGCATCCCAGGAGGCCCGGACTCGAACACACAGGTGGGGGGCGGCACCGGGCATCAGCAATACACAGTCTGTGGAGCCCAGCTGTGCCCACCTCCCGGTGGCCAAGCTCTCCTTGGAGCAGAAGGCCAGGAAGCTGCCTCCCAGCCGCTAAGCCAGCCCTGGCACCGGCCAGGGACTGCCAGGTGGAAAAGCATCTCTTCCTGCACCCCAGACTGTCTGAATTGCTTTTATTTTCTTAACTCTCAGCATACTCAATAGACCAAAGAGCAGAATCTATTTTCACGTGGACGCCCTTCCCGTCGAGTCCCGGGTTCACTGTGGGGCATGGGAGGGCGTGGCGGCACAGAGATGCAGGTGAAGGCCGAGGAGCGGAGCAGGCATCTGCGGCGGAGGCCCCGCCCCACGAACGCTGCGGCACGCCCCAGGAGGATGACGCAGGCTGGACGCAAGCCTCGGCTCGCCCGTGGGACCTGGCGGGGCGAGGCCGGCACGGCCCCGGTGCGGGGAGCGCACGCACCCGGGGACACAGACCCTTCGCGCCTCTGTGCTTAGACCGACTTTCTCATACTAAATCACTTTGTTTTAACCAGTTAGTCATGCCTCTTCTGCAGCTCCATTTTTGATAGTTGGATAATCCAGTACTTGCCAAGAGCATGTTGGGTCTCCCCTGACTGTCCTCCAATCCACCATTTAGCTCCAGAAAGCAAATTAAAGAAAACTGAAGTAACACTGTTTGAAAGAGATCATTAAATGTATTTTGCAAAGCCTAAAGTTATATATTTAACAGTTTTTATATGTTGTATATTTGTAGAAAATCCTATTTAACAATTCACGCGCCAGCCCGGGCCGTCCCCAGCATTGGGACCAGGCCCCGGGTGTCGTGGAGATTCTGGGGTGGCTGCGTGGGACCTCAGGTGCCAGGCACAGAGGGGCAGGGCTCCGGGAGAGGGCTGCTGGGGACCATGCATGACTGTCCTGCCCAGGTCCTAGAGGATGTCAGGAAGCCAGCTTCCTTTCTGCTTCGGTTGGGTTTGGTGGCTCATTCCCCCCTTTCAGTCTATGTATTGGTAAACACCACGTGTACAATATTTTCATTATGCCTCCTGGACGGATTCTGTTTTCCCTCCCTCGACCCCACCTCCATCCATGGGTCTTGAGGCCCACGGGCAGCCCGTGTGGACCCCCTTGCTCATGGAAGCCCTCCGTGTCGCAGTAGGAGGTAACGGAAGCAGGAGGTGGCCAGGGACCAGGGGACCGAGGGAGGCACTGCCCACAGGCACTGTGGCCACACACCCCGGCAGGAAGAGTCCACAGGCCGGCACGTAGGGTCAAGTGTGGCACTCATGCCAGCACCCACCATTCTCCTGAGTTTCTGCTGACGTATACAACCTACAAGCCCAATTAACATGAGTATTATGCTAGTTCTATGCTACTAAAAAAAAGTAAATATATACATATATATATATAACTCCAGTATATAGATGCCGTTCAGCAACCATAGACTAAAGATAGGAAAGAAGATCCGTTCATGTGAGACCCGATCCAGTATCTACCGTATTTAATTTACCTTCGGTCACCGCTCACTCAGAGGTGTTTGTATCCTGGACAGCAGGAAGAGGCTGCAATGTGGGCTCGATAGGGCTCTGTCCCCACCGGGCACCCAGCTCTGATGGCCCCAGCTGCCCGGGGACAGAGCAGGAGGCGTCTCCCGGGCCTCTGGCCTGCCAGGGTCCCCATCCCCTCCCAGCACTTGTTTCTCCTGAGAGCAAGTGTAGACGCCTTTGAAGGCAGAGGCAGGAGACTTAAGATGTGACAGCATATTTTCCCCTTGTTTTACAGTATTCAATTTTGTGTTGAATTCAGCTAAATTATGAAAATAAAGAAAAAAATCCTTTGATACGCATGGCTTTTGTTCCCTGGCCGTGGTGTCCTGGGAGAGGGGCAGTTGTTGGCCTGGCTGGCGGGGACAGGCGGAGGATGCGGGCACCCTGGGTCGGAGCGGCCCCAGCAACGAGGTGTCCCTCCAGCCCGGGTGCCTCGGGGCCGGCTTCTCCCACAGCCATCGCCAAGGGAGCATCAAAGCCTTCCTGTTCCTGCAGGATGGCCGCGGAGCCCATCCTAGGCCCCGGTGTGCTTGCTCAGCACCACAGGGGCCATCACCCTCCCTACACAGAAGCCAAGTGAAAGCTGCTGCCTTCCTTCCAGTTGGAGAAGCCCAGGCAGCTGGTGGGAACACAGGCAGTCGCGTGCATTCTCCTGTCCACTGTAGCTGGCGAACCAGCCCCACCTACCGCAGCATGGAGACGCTGAGCCGTGCCCGGGCCGGTGACCGCCCAAAGAGCCACACCCACAGGAGAGCCTGGGCTGTCTGCTCGGCCGCTGGTGGTGTCTGGAGTCCCTGCCGAAGGGCACCGGCGTGGGAAGCCACCGCTCTCCTTTCCCAGCTCTGCTTCGTGAATCTGGCCATGGTGGTCGGATGGCCTGTGCTTTCTTCCGAAGACCCTTCACTGCTCTTATAGCCACTGCTTGCAAGAAACCAGCTTGTCCCTGCCACGCAGGCAGTGCAAGGCAGGCCTGCAGCTGCTCTAGGAGCCCCAGGCCGGCGGTGTCCTGGGCTGGAAGGAGGACTCACGGTCCCGTCCATGGAGGAAGACCAACCTGGGTGAGCTGGGCTCTGCCTCCAGAGCCTGCCCTGGATGGGCAGTGGGTCTGGAGACAGGAAGGACTCTACCCTCCTCTTGGCACACAGGAGCCAGGTGTCGGGATACAGGGTGGAAACGTGGGTCCCCATCAGCCAATGTGAGCTACCTCCTGCTGTGTAACGAATAGTCCCACCCCTAAGGATGGGTGAACAGGCATTCTTCCTCCAACAAGGATCCAGCGTAGGCTGCTGGGGACATGTCACCCGCAGAGCTCCGTCGCCCGGTGAGGAGGACGTGGGGATCCCGTGTGGGAGGCCGCCCCCGAGGTCGGCTATTGGCTGCCAGTGGCTGGGGTGCACAGGCCTGGCTGGCACCGGCGACCGTGTGCCTGCCTGCTGACAGCAGCGACTGCGGCGGCCTGTCCGTTCCACAGTGACGGGCTGGGAAGGCGGTGGGCACGGCACCCCCTCTGGGCACGCTGGAGCCTCCACCGTGGCAGCTCTGCCTCAAACCCTGGTCCTCCAACCCGGGGTCTGCCCATGGACGGGGTCTGCCCGTGGACGGGGCTGCTTTGAAGCCACTGAGTCGTGTTTTCCAGGGATGGTCTGAGATGTTAGGCCACCACCCAGAGCCTGTGCCTCCATCGTAGCAGGACCATCAGAGCAAGTCAGATTCTCTGGAGATGGAGCTGGCTGAAGGTTGGTGTGTCAGGCCGGCCCTCTGCCTGGTGTCAGAGCCTGGCACCGCTTCCACACCACCCCCACCGCCCTTGGGGGCCTTCCGGGCCTTCGCTCCTCCTCTCCTGAGACCCCGCCTCTGGGAACTCACGAGGGCCAAGTCCAGCGCAGGTCTCCGGGGCCCCTGGGATGAGGAGCGCCTCCCTGCCCGGCGGGCAGGCAGCTGCCCCACGTGGGTCATGCACCTGTGTGACGGTTCTGGAGCCGGGACTCCTGCGGTCCCCGCGGCCTGCCCAGACAAGCCGGCCTGTACTGTGGGTCCCAAGGCCGGGCTCCGTGGAGAGGAGGAGGCCGGAGCGAGGCGCGGCTGGCCCTAGCCCGCCACCAACACAGGACGCAGGAGCGTCGGGTTTGGATGGGGGAGGAGCGCGCTGGTCATGGCCAGAGGTGACTCGCGGGATCGCTGGGGAAGCCGGCTGGAGTGACCCCGCTTTGGGGTGGGGGTGCCCCTGGTTCGGCAGCCTCTCCCTCTCCTCTGTGCTGTCCCACCCTCCCTACCTCGCTCTCTAGGGAACACGGTGGCCTTTGCCTTCATATCTGGAAAGGGACACAAATTGTGGCCTGGCCCCCAGCCAGCCATCCCACGGGAAGCTGCGCTCCTGGAGAACCTGCCTCTCTCTCAGCCCTGACTGGGCCCACCTGGACCCCAGCCCTGGGGGGCGGGGCTTCCCTCAGCACGCGGGGCCCTGCTCCCTGCAAGGCCCAGCTGACTGACCAGGCCTAGCTGTCTGTGGAAAGGCTCAGCTGTGGGACTCAGGGAGTCCCAGGCAGCTGCTAGGACTGACCCTGACCCGGTCCTGGTCCTGGCCCCTGGCCCTTGTCCTGACCGGAAAGAAGCTATTTTGGAGTGGAGCTGTGGGCACCGGACAGCAGCTGGGAAAGGCCGGTGGGAAAGGAGAGGAGGCTCGGATCATAGGCGCTTCCTCTCACACACGTGAATAAGCAGGGTGCTTATGCGGCTAGGCAGAGGACAGGCCCTGTCCTGTCCCTACATGTGTCCTGAGCCTCATTTAGGGGCTTGGCACCAGCCCATCTGTACCCCCATAACGGTCCCCCTCCCCCGTCATAATGGCCACTTTGCCTACCCAGTAACGGCTACTTTGCCCACCCAGGTGCGCGTGGTGGGAGACTCAGGCTTTGTCTCCATGGCTAATGGCTTCTTCCCCGCTCCAAGGGTGGGTCCCGCTGTGGGAACAGGCCATAGGGGCTGCAGGAATACGTCCAGACATGGAGCCCTTGCGGTGCTGCGACCGGCCCTTTGCATGTGCTGTGTTAACCAGAGGTGTCTCTGATTCTGGATCAGGCCGGGGTGAGGACACGTCGGGACTCAGATGCCAGGTCTGACTAGTTCTCCCCCAGGGCTACACCCTGGGAGCAGGCCACCCACCAGTTGCCTCTGCACCTGGTGCGGCAGCGAGCCCTGCCTCAGAGAACCTCAGTAAAACTAAACGGCCTCCAAGGCTCCAGCTCTGGCTCCAGGCCGGCCCGTGCCACGCACGGCCTGTACATCTCTGCTGAGAGATGTGATGCAGCCAAGTATGCTTCATTTTTTCCTTCTGGGCCCAGGATTCTGGAATTACTCTGAAATAATAACCACATTTATTTTCTGCTTCTACGAATGTCTTTTCATTTCTTCTTCCCTCTGTGCCGCAGGGCAGGAATCCATCTCTTTCGCTGGTCGTGGGTGAGGGGTGGCCGGCTATGAGAACAGGCATCCAGGCCAGGAGCAGAGCAGAGGCAGCCCCGCTCCACGGTGGGCCAACGGCCAGAGTTCTAGCCACCACGGGGAAGGACAAAGAGGGTACATCCAGGCTGGGGTCGTGTGGGAGGGAGCCAGCACGGTCAGGTCAGGGAAGAGGATCCTCTGCGTTGGCTTTGCAGCGCTGGACGAGGATGGACAGAATCCCAGAGTTGAGGCAAGCAGAAGGATGGCTCCAGCCTGACCGGGGTGTGGTGTCCAGGACTGGGTTTGTTGTAGTCTCCTCTAGATGGGCAAGCAGGGCCTCCATCCACTGTCCTCAGCCCCTCGCCCTGGCAGTCAGCCTCTAGAGGGGGAGGGGGGAGGGAGGAGCAGCGAGTCTGCAGGGCTCACTGTGCATCACGGCTGCTGTCGGGAGGGGAAGGCAGCGTCACCCGGGATCACCTTCGGGGGAGGTGCTGTCCATCGCTGCCTTGGAGGTTACCAACACCGGGATTCAGAAGGCGCTGGCTCAGAAGCTGAATCCTGGCAGGCGGGCTTCATGACTTCTCCAGGAGGAGGGAGGACAGCGTGGCGGCCGTACGCCTGTCCCGAGGGACAACATGGCGCCATTCGCCTGTCCAGCTCCTGGTCTATCAGCCCCAAGGGTGACCCCAAGGGCGTCCTCAGCTCAGGCCCTGGATCATTGTGAGTGAGC